GTATTTTGTGGAAGAGCCACACTCAAGGGGCCAAAGAGCCGCATGTGGCTCGCGAGCCGCGGTTTGCCGACCACGGCTCTAGGTAATAAATATTGAGGGCCAGAGAACTTAGTAAGATTCAGAAAGGCATAACCCAAGTCCCACTGTGGAAGAGTAGTTCAGATGGGGAAAGAAGTATAATCTTAGTGAGTTAAAAATACCTAACACCTGCTTCTCTTATTTAGAAAACCAGTTAGCTAACTTTGAGCAATGTTATCAACTTGCTTGAGAGATTCCACGGTATAATCTTAGTGAGTTAATAATACCTGCTTCTCTTTAGAAAACCAGTTAGCTACCTTTGAGCAATGTTATCAACTTGCTTGAGAGATTCCACAAAACATTTTGTGTTAATATTTTTTGGAAAAGTCTCCAGTTCTGATTCCTTTAAAATGGTGTTTACCAACCTTGATAGTGTTAACATTTTGGGCTAGATAGTTCTTAGTTGTAAGGGGCTGGCCCATACATTGTAGAATGTGTAGCAGCATCTCTTTCTTCCACCTACTAGATGTCAGTAGCACCCCCTAGCTGTGACAACCAAGAACATCTCCAGGCATTGCCAAGTGTTCCCTGGGGAGGGCACAGTCACACTGGTTGAGAACCACTGATCTAGAACTTGCCACCATGGTGTACTTGTGTTCCACTAAAGTAATTACATATATCAGTCTACTTTGGGACTCTAAAGAAATGTCTCCTCACGATCTTTGAATAACTATAGATTTTACCTGTCCCTAAAGCAGAAAAGTGATTAAATATGTGTGAATATGCTGATCAAAGCTTCAAATAATAAAAATAGATTGGTCAGTAAATCCTTTTGAATTCACTAGAATTGTGAACACAAACAGATTTAGACTGTGTGATTGTAGTCCCACCCCTGGCAAATAGTACTTGGTGATGCTTTCAGCTTAGTATTGGGTTTATGACTCTCTAAATAATATACTTTAAAAAACTGATCCACACCTTTTTTTCTTTCCAACAGTGGACCAGCATTTATACTTTCAGGACACTTACGTTTTCTATCAGTTTTCATCTGATGAATGTAGCTATCTATACTGTGAATTCGAACGAGAAGAAGAATGGCAAAATGGTGTCAAAATGTTACTGCAGCTTTTGCCTGTCATTCGCACCAGAGCTGGCATCTGTGAACTGTAAGTGGATGCTGTTTTGTTCGGTTGTTAAATTATTCTCACATTAAGAACATTTACTGTGTCTGGGGACTGTTCTTTGCTCTTTAAGATGACCATCTCCTTTAAAAGGTAGCTGTTCTGGTCCCATTTCTCAGCTGCAAGTTCAGAAAGGTAAAATAAATTGCTTAAAGTGAAATCAGCTATTAAATGACTGACTTAATATTCAAATCTCAGAAGTCCCTGCCTTGCCAGCTACACTATGCTGCACCTAATTTAATTATTGCTATATTAGTAGATGATCTAAATTAGAAATAAACATGATTTGACTTGAGTTGAGAATAAAATAGTAACTCATATCTTATTCACTACCCAAGTCGTGACTTTCCTAAGAAAGAGCTCAACAGACATTTAGGAAAATAATCTAGAAGCAACATTTGGCAAATTAAAACACCAGTCATAGCCCTGGCTGGTGTATTCAGTGGTTAGAGCATCAGCTTGTACACCGAAGGGTCTTGGGTTTGATTCCCGGTCAAGGGCTTGTACCTGGGTTGCAGGTTCAATCCCCAGCCCTGGTTTGGGTGCACGTGGGAGGCAACCGATTGATGTGTCTCTCTCACATCCAAATGTTTTCTTCACCCTCCATCCTACCCTCTCTCCTTCTCTCCCTTCCTCCCTTCTACTCTTTCTAAAAATCAATGGAAAAAATATCCTCATGTGATATTAAAATATAAAACACATGAAGATACTGAGTCACTATATTATTAAAATGAATTAAAATTAACTCGTTTTAGAGAAGGTTTGTGAAAAAAGACTTGTTATGATATGGCATTCTGACATGGGGGCATTGTGGGGAAACAAAAACCAAGGACATACTGCATGTGCAACTCAGGTAATAAATATTGAGGGCCAGACATACTGCGTGTGCAACTCAAAACTGTCCACATCATTAATGACAAGCTTACTTAACTATGGTGTATTGCAGATTAAAAATTTCAGTTAATAACTTTCACATATTTAGTTTTTAGAATGTATTCCCAAACTGTTGACTCTTTCAGTTAGCTGGGCAAGTAGTATTATCCTCATCTCATGGGTAAGAATGTAGGTTCTAGGAGAAATACCTACACCCACAACAAAGATAAATTACCCTTGTTAAAAAGAACAGTTAGCCTTGGCTGGTGTGGCTCAGTGATTAAACTGTCGGCCCCAGCACGAGGGCTCTCAGGTTCCATTCCTGATCAAGGGCACATACCTGGGTTCAATCCCTAGCCCAGGTCACGGCACATGCGGGAGGCAACCAATCATCAATGTGTCTCGCTCACATTGATGTTTCTCTCTCTTCTTCTCCTCCTTTCTCCCTTCCATTCTCTCACAAAATCAATGGAGAAAATATCCTCCTGGTGAGAATTAACAAAATGAAAAAATAAAAAGACAACACTGAACAGTTAATATAGGCTTTTAGAAAAATAAGTATCAGAATACTAATGAGACACTGGGCTAATGGAAAGTTTGATTGTAGAGAACATATTTTATGTCAGGAACTATGCTAAATGCTCTATTTCAGTGGTTCCCAACCTTTTTTTGGCCATGCCCCACCTAAGCATCTCTAAAATCCTGATGCCCCCCTGTGACATATAATTCTTATTATTAAAAAAATGAACTCCTATTCATGTGGAGGAAGCCTAAAAGGTCATTGACTTCGTCTCAACAAGCTTCCAAAGAACATGGCATCCATGAAAGAGAAAAATAAAAGAATGAAAGGACAGTTGAAGTACTGAGGAAGAAATCACTAAGAAATTATTTTAAAAAATAATAATATGAAGTGATATGAAAAAATAGCAAATAAAGTTTCAAAACATATATTAGAGTACTGCGATGCCTAAACATGTCACAATATATATTTATATACTGTGCATGAGGCCCCTAGAACCATAAGAAATACAAAAATTCACTGTTAACAACTCATTCTCGAATTGTCCCCTTAAAAATAAAATTGCCCCCCTGTGGGGCATGTGCCCCACGTTGGGAACCGCTGCTCTATATTCATTATTTCATCTTCAGATGAATCCTGTAAGACAGTTACTACTATTTTTCCTATTTTGTAAGTGAGGAAACTGAAGTCAGGTAGCCTGTCCAGGGACATACCAGTGCATGGAGTGTTTAGGATGTGAGTGCTTGTCTATCTGACTCTAATGCCCATGCTTTTAGCACCTGCTCCCTGGTTCCTAGGCGGTATGGAGGTCATTCTAGCTTCCCTTTCTGAGATGTTACAAATGGAAGCTATAAAAATGTTAGACTGACTCTGAAATGGTTATGAATTCACCACCACTGTTTACAGAGGACCTTGCAAGGGTAAAGCAACCTTCAAATATTAACTCCCCACTCAGCTGTCTAAGTACAGAAAATGTTCTGTAGTGTAATATGCTTTTAATATGGGTCAGAAGTTTCCTGAGAAAAGCCAAGGAGCCTTTCAATAAACTTGAACCAGCTTTCTAAGAAGGAGTGGCCTGCTTCTGAAGCTAGAGGTGGCTGTGCCTTGCTTTGGCTCTGGCATACTTTAGCAGCTCTTAACCGTTCCCCGTCCTGAGGGCAAGATGGAACTGTGTGCACCCCCATGGGCACACCTGAATGAATGGGGGCACAAGGGCAACTGAACTCAACTTGCAAGCAGGCCTCATGCTGTAGCTCCAGTCCTTTCTCCTTACTCTGCAGACTGGAATGCCAGTGAGTGAGGTGACTGTATATAGGGACATCCTAGGTCTCTTGTAAGTTCTGAAAAGGAAAATGTTTTAAAAAGTGGGGTCTTAATATTTATTCTGGGTTATTTCCAATCTTATGTCACACTGGTCCCTGAACACAAATGTCATGCCTCTAGAATTGAGAATCACTGTAGCATGCCTTGTCTAGCAGCAAACTTTTTATGTCGGTGTGAACATGCGCATTTGGGAGTAGAAATTCCTCTGGGAAAATTGGGTCATTAGGAAGTTATGGGTCTGTCAGTTCCACATTATAAGTCCTAACTATAAACATAAAATTACTGAACCACTGAAAGTCTCTTCTGGAGAGAGAGGACGTGCATTTTTTCCTATAGTAGAGCTATAAGCCAACTGCTAAGCTATGGTAGAATGTTTTCGGCCAAATTTTGGGAAGCCAGACTTACAAGAAAGCACAATAAGGAAAAAGGTGCCTGGAGACATTGCCCTCTCAGTGGTCACAGCCCTTTCTGTGGTTTCATGCATATGATCCTGTCGTAACTCCTGCTCTAACCCGGTGATCCCGGTTCATTCCGCCCGCCCCACACCCACGTGTTCCCTCAGGCCCATAGGATGCTCTGCTCTCTCTCCAGCTTCTTTCTTGTCCAGTCAAATTCTACCCACCCCTCAAGGGGGAGCCCAAGTCCTACTTTCACTGCAAAACTTCCATGATGTCTCCAGTCCCTGTCTGTCTTTCTTTTAGTAACTTACTGTTCTTGCTGTTTGTATCAAAATCTTTTTCCATTTTTCTGTCATTCTTAGTCCTGTCCATTCAGCTTTTTATCCATTCTACTGAAATGCCCTCTAACGGCTGCCGGGTTCACTAATCGAGGTTGACCACTCAAGAGCAGAAAGCCTATCTCCTGGTCCTTCTACTGACCTTTGTGATATTTGAAGGCTACTAAGGTCAGCCATGCAGTTCTCCGGTCGGCCTCACTAATTTGCTGTCTTCTCTCCGAATCTCTTTAAAACTATGGAAGGAAACTACTTACTATCTCTGTGTGAATGCAACCTGTTCTGTACAAAGGTATTTTGAAAAAGAAAAGTGAGGTTTTTCCACTTTAAAGAAACGTGTAAAGCAGGAAGGAAAATGGAGCTGCTGCAGGTTCCTGGGCTAATGTAAGGCAACAAAATCCCTCCTCTACACAAAATAACGCTTCTATCCAAACTGGGGAGATAATTTGAAAGGAATGAGTGAATCGGTCGTCAAGGGTATTACCTCAGGGGGAAAATATCAGACATGGCACCTCATTCAAACGGAAAGTCAGTCAAGTCTCCCAGAATGCATTTTGTTCCAGCTCCTTTTCTTGGAACTTCTGACCCATATTAAAACCTGGGGG